CATCCAAATCCACTATTTTCATTCTTATTGTAATAGAGCGAAGAAACTGTATAGAATGATGAAGATATATGCTTATTTTTACACGGCAATTCTCTGTTAACTGACTTCAAAGTTTACATTTGTTCATGTTATATAAAGTTAAATACACGGAACTTTCATGTTCCGTTCGATTGAGTATAGCGTTCCCGGTCGCTGCGAACGTCTATAATCATTTCGTTCACGGTGGCGTTATGGATGCTTTCACATTTACACCGAAAATTTGAATAAATTCGTCAGTTTACTGAATTTAAAACACATGTTTCTATTATCAATGATTTGGAAAGAACTGTGTTATATACGCGTATTGTGTATCATAAGGTCTGATTTATCTAAATATCTATATTATTTACACATATCATCTATTTTTTTTCTTCATTTTTTGTTGATAACATTGTCTGTCAACTTCTTATTATAATGGTGTTTTATTTGGATGCTTTATCCATATTTCATTGTTTATATATGAACATATATATATATATATACTAAAGTTACTCGTAAAATTGTGTGCGACCTAAGACAAAAATGATAAATACTAAGTCTTATTAAAAACAATTGGTAAAAAACCCGAAATCATTAGCGTCTTTTCTGACGTATGTAAATTTGTTCGAACAGGTTAACCAAACAGGTAAAGCTGAAATATAAATAAAACAATTATTAGTTGAAAATTGAACATTTTAATTAATTGTGCATCAAATGCTGCCATGGTACATCAAGATTAATCAACAAGTGTTGTGATTTGATAAGTTACTGCCATCTATCGATGATTGAGCAGTTTTTATTGTCCATTGGGGTACTTTACATTAGACAAGAATTTAATCAGAGACAGTTTATTCCTTTCTTAATGTCCGGTGTGGTCAATTAGAAAGGTCAAACAGGAATTTTTCGTTAGAACTACCATTAAGAAATAGCAACTATACAGCGATCAACACTGCAATAAGATAGGAGACAGATCAAAGACAATACATAGATAAAAGATGAAAATTTTCGGAGATATTGTCCGTCAAGGAATCCCTTTAAGATTTGGTATTGTAATTATCTTAGAATTATCTGCTGAATATTAAATGTCACATTCACAAAGTTGATTGATGCTACGATGTAATTTAATTCAGTCGGAAATTTAATACGAGTAATTGTTTAAGGAGAAAACAGTCACTTTATCTAATTAATTAAAAAATTATTTTCCCCTCAAATGATATTATGCAATACGATATTTTAACAAATCATTTTTGTCCTAATCGAAGCACCAGTAAACTAAGGTGTGAACTCTCCGCGGACTTTTTATTGAAGACATGAGGGTCTGAATGGGAGGTCCTTTATTTCTTTATTCTTTAATTTTTTAGACCATTTTTCTTTATTCTTTTTTTTAGCACCCCATTATTTTCTATTTATGTTTTGGCCACATTTTTTTATATTTTAAATTTTTATTTCACTTTGTTCTGCACTTTTTGCTCATTATTTTGTATTCTGTAAACCCCATCCAGTTCCTCGGGCATGTATCACGAGTCGCAGATATTTGTTGAATATCACAACTTCAGAAATCAAAGTGAACAAAAAGTAAAATAAAATGAAAAAAAATGAATTAAAATTAGATAAAACCAGAGCTGCTAAACTTTGCTGAGTGTATAGAATAACATTAGTACGTTTGGTTTATTTCTGTTAACTAACATTTATATTTTGAGTATCACCGATTCTGCAGCTGACACGAATTAAAAAGAATAGATAAGATAGTAAAAAAAAATAATAAAACAATATTAAACTAGTCATCCTCCCTTATAAATTTGAGAATGGAATGTATATATATACATATATATTCCCATATATATATTGTCTTCTAATAACAATCATTTGCCCATTGAGAGCTTGTTGACCGTCGGCTACATTGACTTGCTAATTTAGAACAACTACCATTACAACATCAGTCAAAGTATTCAATATAGATTGTTGCCGTCGCAACATATTTATTAGGCCTTCCTATATCTTCTCGCAGATCTTGTACCCTTTATAAGTCATTTGCTTTGATAGAAGTTCCCGCAATCCACATAAAACATAGCTACAATTGATTGCGTATGCTTGATTTATTGATTGTTGTTTGGATAACGTCAAGTGACAAATATTTAATGCATACACATTAATAATTTATGCAATTATAGGTAGGTAAAGTAATGTGGGTCGACCGGGATTAGAGGCCAGAATTTAGATTGTCCGCCGCTGGAAAATGAGGTTAAGTTGGATAGGGGCAGACAAGTTTGAACAGGCCACATGAAGACCCCTCATTGAGTTGTTGCAAGTGTTTGTTTTTTAAACTTTTTGATAGTCTCTTCAAACGAGTCATCGGATCTAACGTCCCCATTTTGAAATGGCGTGACTTCGTATTTATACATTTCACACAGCCAACAAACGCCCTACTTAAGCATTTTTTTCTGCGGGACAAGAGATGTCCAAAGTATGACCATACTTCTATATTCCAGTTAACCTTTTGAGTTGAGAGTAAATGCATTCAGGGGTTAATGTAGTAATCGTTGTCAGCTGATTACAACAAAGACTAGTTAATTCTAGTAACTTATATATTATAATATAGCTCACCATTCCATTTTTTTTGTTTCGATAATTGAGTTGTTGATATTTTTGTCGACGTTTTACCTTGAATCCTGATTTATACCTCATTGTCGATGTTTCTGTTTCAAGTCGAATTAGCGCTGCATTAATTTTTACTTTGTAAAAGATGTGATGTACAATTTCTCTTGTTGTTGTCTGAACTTAAGATTTTGAAACGAAAAAAAAAAGAAAAAATAACGAATTGAGTATTATAACTGGCTTAAACTAACACAAAGATGACAAGGTTTTGATCGTCTTTATAATGAATTGATTTTCAACTCTTCTCGACTCGATTCGATTTAGAGTCGGACCTATCGTGTACAAAATTGAGAATGGAAATGGGGAATATGTCAAAGAGACAACAACCCGACCAAAGATCAGACAACAGCCGAAGGCACCGAATGGGTCTTCAACGCAGCGAGAAAATCCCGCACCCGGAGGTGGTCCTCAGCTGGCCCCTAAAAAAATTGTGTACTAGTTCAGTGAAAATGGACGTCACACTAAACTCCAAAACATATAAATGAATTAAAATTAAAAAAACATACAAGACTAACAAAGGCGAGAGGCTCCTGACTTGGGACAGGCGCAAAAATGCGGCGGGGTTAAACATGTTTTGTGAGATCTCAACCCTCCCCCTATACCTCTAGCCAATGTAGAATAAAGAAACACATAGCAATACGCACAGTAAACTCAGTTTAAAAGAAGTCCGAGTCGGATGTCAGAATAGGTAACAAAAGAAACTAAGCAAAATGACAATGATACATAAATGAACAAAGGACTACTAGCAGTTACTGACATGCCAGCTCCAGACCTCAATTAAACTGATTGAAAGATTATGTCTTCATCATATGAAAATCAAGTACAATCCCTCCCGTTAGGGGTTTAGTATCATACCATCATAAAATATATCAGAAGAACATAACCCGTATCATGCCAACAACTGGTTTTAGAATATGCCTGTCTCAATGACCTCTATAGTTGTCTATTTCGAAATAAGGAGATGCGGTATGATAGCTAATCGGACAACTATTCAAAAAAGATCAAAGTACGTGGATGTAAGCAACTATAGATTTCCGTATGGCCTTCAACAACGAGCAAAACACATATCGTATAGTAAGCTATAATATTTCCTAGATGGATAAAATATGAATCAATTTAAACGAGAAAATAAACGCCCTGATTTATGTACAAAACAATTAATGAAAAAAGTATGATAGAGCGACCAACGACAACAACTGAATTACGGTTTCCCGACTTGGGACAGGCACTTACATACTGCGTCTGGGTTAAACATGTTTGCGAGCGCTCAACCCTCCCTTTTATCTGGGGCTATGTCGTTAATATCTCAACATAAGAAAAAAACTATAAAAAGTCAGTTGAAAAATATACTTGACTCACCAGATCGACACAAAGCACAAACACAGCTAAAAAAGATACTAAAGACATAGTATCGATTTAGGAATACTCGCAGGTACTGAAAGATCGTTCAAAGACAATTATACAACTAACAAATAAATAATGTTTCCTGGACTAAAATAGATGAGTACACGTCTAATAAATTAATCGTCATAAACAGTCTGAGAAAAAACACGACCTTGTGCAATGCCAAAATATAAGTATCGGCAGGATGTAGGGTTGTTAGTGTTCATATCTGTATAGGAATAAATGTTTTCATGTATTAATCAATATTAGTTCCTATAAACGCAATATTAAAAGATCTTATTAAAGTGTTAAAATGATAACCTATGAAAAGTTTATTCAAAGGATCGATAAGAGTATATGAATTGTTTCTAAATCTACGGGCTCTATAAACAACATTCACCGTACAAATTAGGATGCAACATGTAATAAATTACATACAGGTACAGTCTAGCTTCTAAACCAAATCTTTGTATGAAATTTTAAAAAGCCGGCTTTTGGGTTTCAAGCGTTTTTATTCCATTTGTTTGTCTATTCAAAATTCCAAACAATATGGTGTACGCATAGAAAAGGTGCGGTTTTTTTCCCTTAATTAGGATAAAAACACTACTGTTAGCAACCGATGGCCCTTTCCCCCGTTTTGGAGATTACTTGTACTATGGATCAAAAGTGATATATAAAGTTAAACATATCAAGAGCTGAATGTTATCCCCAAAAGACCAAGAAGATTACTTATTTTAAGTATGCTTTGTTTAAGATTTTTATAGTCATCAAAATTCTATTATAACAATATATATGAAATTCCTGGTATTTTCAACTACTAATTATTTCGCTATTATCATGATAAACGATTCTGAATTCTGGCCAAGGTACTTTCTGCCTCATTATGTTTAAAGGTAAACCGGTACAATGCTATTAATGAACTTGATATTTTTAATTATTTACAGGATAAAGATGTATGGAATTTCTTCACAGTTGAATTTCTCAGGATCCAAAAGCTTAGGGTGTATCTAGCTCTACCAACAGCTGTACGCCATTCTTTTATAAGTATGTTTTATTTATTCTTTATTGTTGTTCTCAGGGGAAAACACTGGTCAGATTTCCATAATTTATTTTTAACACTGAGTATACTTTTTATATAGTTTAAATAATGTGTTGGCAATTATTTGATACCGAAACGTATACTACACTTGACCTGCCAACATTTCAAGTGCGATTGTTATATTTTTGAATTTTGATTGATGGAATTTTAAAATATGTTCATATTGAGAAATGGCAGACTCCTGTTTGAAAGGTATGTGACACATTAAATTCAAAATCAATCACCCCCCCCCCCCCCCCCCCCCCCCAAAAAAAAGAAAAAAAAAACAACAACGAAAGAAAACCAACAAGAATCCCAATAACTTACATAACTGCAGAGTCTGAGTAAATGATACACATAACCTTGTTTTTTGAATTTAACATACATCCATAAAATCAAGATGATATTCAACGTTTTACATTACTACTGCATGCAGATAATTTTACCAAAATTACTTAATTTTCATCTGAAAGAAAATACAAACCAGCATTTTCGATAGAAATTTTGTTTGGTCAAACATTTCTTTCTTTTTCATGCCTTTCTTGTTTATGTATCTTACTAAAAGGGTTAACTGTGATATCGAAATATGCTCACCTGGACCTCTTCGTTTCCGGTAGTAAACCCATGCTAAAGAAGGGCGTTCGTTTGGTTCTGCGGGATGTATAAGTACGCGGCCACGTCTGGTCGGAATGGTGACGTTGATATTGGTGGGTTTTTTTAAGTGTGCAACAACTCTTTGATTTTAGGTGTCACTAAGCGGTTTGTTATGCATGCCTTTATATTATGTTATGAAGAACCTACCTTATGCATTAGCTGTAAACAATTTTTATCATCCTTCCTGAGTATACATACCATATTTGCCACTGAATCAATATTTATGTTTCTGCATTAATAAAACACAAAATTTGCCAAAATCTTTCAAAATTGCAGCTTTGAGCCATCTGTATAAGCAAGAATTTTGGTTGCAATTTCAGAAATCTGACATATTGGTGTTACAACCTTAAAGTATACGTACAAATCTGTAATACTTTTAATTTTAATAGCGACTGAAAGAATTTTTGAAAATAGCTTTAGTGAACAAACAACTTAGAAGAAACTGGTTTAGCTTTTTTTCGAAAATGCTTTAATTTTAAAAAAGAAGATGTGGTATGATTGCCAATGAGACAACTCTCCAAAAGAGACCAAATGACACAGAAATTAACAACTATAGGTCACCGTACGGCCTTCAACAATGAGCAAAGCCCTCAAGCAAATTGGACGTAAAGTAACAAGGTGCATCACTGGTAAAGATTCGAGTATTTTTTAAAAATAAAACTGCTTTTGAAATAGCTGCAGGGGGCGTCATAAACATTGATCAAGAAATGGCATTCCACTATATTATTAAAGAAAGTTAAATTATTAACTACATTTTGGTTTTAATTGATATACCCTTGTATCAGCTTAATCTTTAAAATGTACGTTTCAGAGAATTAAAATCAAAGTTGTCAGTCATGATTTCAATCTTGTAAGATAGATACCGTCTGTCATGTTATTACCTTTATAAGGAATTGCCTTTTTCTCTTTTGAAATGTTTCTCATTTGGTCTTATCGGGGCCTCTTAAAGCTGACTATACGGTATAGATGATGCTTTTTGTTGAAGGCCGTGCGGTGAACTGTAGTTTTTGACGTTTTTATCCTTTGGTGTTTGATGGATAGTTGACTTATTCATGTATTGAATTTTCTTATTTCATATGGTAATAGTTCAGAACTTTTACCTTATGCCATATTTAAACATGTTGCTAAACTGCAGCAATAAGCTGTCACAATGAGTTTTCCTTCATCTATTATGTGAACATCATTAAGAAGCCTAACCACTTTGCACACCTGCATCATTATTAAATAATGCAATCTGTTCTGTTTTACTTTTACTATTTTAGTTCGGCCTTGCATCTAATTTTAATTGTCTTGTACAATGTATTGGTATAAATCTATACTGTTTTCCCCATGAGTTAAATATATAATACCAGGTAGGAATATCGAATAAAAAAAGAGATGATACCAAGGAGGTATTCGAAAAGTCCAATAAAAACTGACAATGCCATATATTAATGACGAAAGGATAAACAACAATAACAAATACCAAATAACCCTACCAAAGATCGAGTGAACTCAGTTGCCCAGGAAGTGTATGCATTTCCTGTTTCTCAAGCTAGTAAAAATCGAGCTTCGGTAATTTCACAATCCCGAAAAGGGACGAGATGTTGGTTACAACACATGGAAAATATCTGTAGTCATATTTGACGCAGATATTCCATAAAAAATCAGCCAAACCATGATGGCGTCTGTAAACTTTCGAAGGGATAACTTCAACTTTACCACGTGGAACCCTTGATGCAATAGCTTCCTTGTAAGCAGTATCCGTCTATCAGGGAAGTCATAATAGTAAACGGAAGCATTTGAATCTCGTTTCAACAGGGAAACATATGTATGCAGAAATAAACTTTATTGAGAACAAAAAATTAAAATTGACCAACCGAAAGACAAATAAACAGAAAACCAAACAAAGTCAACGATAAAAAAAATTACAAAACACGCAGAAGATGGACAAACAAGAAAAGGCGTATACAAGCAGCGAACAGCTAAAACACGAACCGACGAACGGACGTACGGAAAGACGAATGGATGAACAAGGTGAATGCAACATATGGCTATAATAAACTGGACAATACGTACTCCAACCAAATCCATAAGTGATTTCAGATGACATTGAATGATAATCATGCCTTGTTTTGCCACCGAAACTTGTCGTATTTCCAGGTAATAATATGTTTGGGGAATAACAATACGGTATTTGAAGAGTTGCCACCGTCAATTGTAGATTTGACGGTCATAAATGTAATTTGACTAGCATCTTCACTAGCCAAGTGTTACGATCCAGTCAACTCCTCTCCACTCTTGGCAGAATAAGCCAACATTTGTGATTACAATGCCGCGCCATCTAACGAAAGATACAGTCACGCCCGTTCCGACTACACCATTCTTGTCAAATGACAGCACTTGAACTCTCTTTAATGTGGAGGCCATCTTATAAGCGCTTTTTGCGAAATTCTTATACGCCAAGGGTGGAGAAGAGGGGACTGGAACGTAACCCTTGGCTAGCGATGATGTTTGACTGGCGACATGGAGCGGAGCCAGTAAAATGGATAATTGGGATCGCCAATTTCAAAATTGACGGTGGCAACTTTTCAAATACAGTACTGTTATTCCTATTCTTATACAATACCTTTAAAATGGTCAAAATTAAACATTCTAAATAACCCGGAAACGTAAACTACAATTGCGCAACGTTGTTGCCAATGACTCTTGATAATACTTAAATTTCTTTAGATTCTTGATTTGGTCATGACATGATTTTTTGGGTTGATATCTAAAGTATGTTGTCAATTTTTTCGGAATTAACAGAAATAGAAAGCCGATTATCGACAGAAAATATACACTTATATGATATTAATTCTATGTGAATATCTTTTGTGATGTTTCAGCAATGTTGAAACAAATGCAAGTTGAAAAGTAATTTAGAAATCCTGTTTATTTAGCTTGATAGCATATTAAATGCTTTTTTGAATACCGATTAAAAATTAAAGAATAATGATAAAATATCGACATAAAACCTATATGAAGAGATTACACAAAAGTTGATGGGCAGATTAAAAAATAACTTTGCATGACAGGGTCCTGCATTTTCAGAAGCAAATTGAATTTGATAATAATGGACAAAAAGAAAGGAATTTGAAACACAAAAAGTCAGCAAAATTACACAAAGCAGTCATCTGTACAATCAAAACAACAAAAATGTCTTCGCTTTTTTACTTTGGAAATAGAGGGATCTACCGCACTTCAATATTGACAGGTATGGTATAAAGATTTTCACAAAACATTTCAAGTGAATCCTGATATTAACAATGATAGCTTTCCCCATGTGTAAAAGTTCTTGTATATCAAATATGAATATGAAAGAAAACGTAACGGCAATTCTGACGAAAACAATTGTTTGTCATCTGTTTATGCAATATAGATAAAGCTAACTTCTTTCATTTCAGAGATTTTTTCCCAAAATATTTCTAAATTACGAGAGAGCGGGATAATTTATTCTACGCACTATAGAGAATTGGCTTCTTTGATGTTTTGATGAATGGCTACCGTCCGTTGTTGATGATGGCGTCATTATTGTACCATTAATGTCAGACGATACATGGAGCGTTTCTGCAACATCACACGCCATATAGCAATTTTTCAGCTATTGTTTTGGACAATAATCACAAAATTTGATTTTCATGGGATTTTCAAATTGAAATTGCTCGACGGAAACCCGTCTGGCATAAGCATAAAGGTACCACATTAAGCACTTACGAGTGCATTCTTTAAAATATGTAACAAACTTTAACCCCAGACTGTATCTACTTGTTAACTGTAAAAAATGTAAAAAAAAATTAAGTCAATTTATCAGTAAAATACGGGAAAATTGAAATAAGTATTCTCAAAATTTTGCCCATCATACTGTTTTTTTAGTCATAAACAAGCTTTTGTCCAAATTTCATAAAATTCCATGATGGTTTGACAAAGTTTTTGATGTCTAAAAAAAACTTTGACCACAGACTGAACCTAAATATTGACGCCGCCGACGGAATCTAGGATCACTATGTCTAGCTTTCGCGACATAAATGTCACAGGCTCGACAAAAAGCCAATTATGTACGCTTCTCGTAATCCAGTGCCTTTTACACTTGTTAACTGAATGAGAATGATGTTTTATCGAAAAAATAACATTGCAGAATCTGTTTTACCAGTATTTAATCTTTATTGTCTAAATATGAAATAAGAAGATGTGGTATGAATGAGAGACCTATCTGATAGGGTCCAAAGAATCTGATAAAAGCAATTATAGGTCACCGTACGGCTTCAACAATGAGAACAAACTATAACATATGGTTAAAGGACCCCGATATGACAAAATCAATGATGTTTTTGAATGCGTATCGAAGACGGAATTACGTACGCTTAGAAAAAAGAAGTGGAAGATACCAAATGGGGAATGGAAAATCATAAGTGTAAGAAAGACCCACAAAATCATGGCAAAAAGAAAAAAACGACGAAAAGACAAACATAAATCTACAATACCCTATATAGAAAACTAAAGACTGAGCAACACGAACTAAACCAACCAACCCAAAAACGAGGGTGGTCCCAGGTGCTCCGCAAGATTTAGCGTATATATATTATG